TTTGCATATCCTTGCTTTACCTTGTGTATGTTTCATGCTTACATTTACTACATTGTTCTGTAATGTTATATCCAGATATGTGTCTCCCCTGCAAGGCTGAAAACTCCTTAGAGGAGAGGTAATATTTATCCTTTTATATCCCAAGCATTTAGGACAGTGACTAGTAGGTAGGAGATACTGAGTGAATATTTATCAAATGAATGAATAAATTCATTTTGTATATCTCTCTACATTTATGTGTATCTTGATTTATAATACAAGTTATTAGGAAATGGACTTGCTTGCAGTGAGGTGTGCATAGTTTTAGAATGTGTGGTTGCTTGCATACCTGAATAATGGCATATGCCTTTTGATTCCCCAAACATGCCACTCCTAGGTAATTAATTCCTTCTCTACAGATGGAGCTATTTCATGGCAGTTGAGACAGAGTCAAAGTGTAGCCACAGTTTGTCTGCATTTGTGTTCCTAAATCAAGCCCCCTCTGTCAGAAATGACCATGAAGGTGATGGTTAGAAGTTGAGAGGGGACTCAACTACATTTGGATGGCAGGTGTCTGCTGTGTCATTTCATCCCAAGATTTAGGAGAGAGGCAGGTATATGAGGAGGTCCTAGTGGCATTCTGGGCAGAGAAGCAGGTGTGCATTCTGAAGTGGGAGCATAGGTGGGCGAATCTCAGCAAGTTAGACTGGCTGAGAAGGTCAGAATGAGGTCAGGAAGCAGAGGCAGATAAGGTACAGTTTTAGGTGGAGAAATTTCCAAAGAAGCGGAGGAGGAGGGTAGGGTTGCAAAGAGAATACTTTCCAAATGGACATGTTAAACCGAGATATGCTCGTATATCCATTTATTCAATAAATATACATTAAGTGCTTAACTTGTAACAACTACTGTATAAAAGCTAAGGGTGTAAATAAGTAAGATCTCTGCTCTCAAGTACATAAACTATGGACTAAACTGTACAGATACATTCACGGACAATTGCAGTATAATGTGATACATGCTGTAATGGGGTAAGCACAGGGAAGTCTGAGGGGAACACATGACCAAATCTAAGAGGAGATGTGAATGGTAAGTTGTAGTTAGCACAATGAGGCAAGAAGAACTATCTTGCCAGAGCCCCAGGAATTGCTGAATATACAAAAGATGAAACGGGGGGACTTACTCAGGGGTTGCAAACACTTCGCTATCGTTGGACTTTAGATGCCATGTTTAGTGGTCCAGACTGTCTGCTGGGAATGTTCAATCACTGGAATATTTTAACCAAGAAGTGATGTGATCATATTTGTGCTTTAAAAATACTATTACAATGAAGTGTGGAGAATGAGTTGGAAGAAAGGGAGACCAAAACCCAGTGAAGTCTTTGTAGGATCTGAGCAAGAAATTATGGTGGCTGAACTAAAGCTGAGTCAATGCAAACAGAGAGAAGCAGATGCTTTCTTGAAACATTTTAAAGCTAGAACAGACAACACTTGGTAATTGACTGGATGTGAGTTGTAATCAAGCAAACGAGGATGGCCAGTTTCTGGCTCAGGCAGCTCAGTGGATGGCTCACTCTAGAGGCAGCTCTGAAAAGAGAGGAAGATGTGTTAGTTTAAGGAGAGTTGGAGAGCCATAGAGCTGAACTTCCTTAAGTTCACTGACCCAGCTGGGTTCACATCACTCTCTCAGGATAGACAGGACTCTTTTGGAAACTCAATGGTATCTAACATCTGACTAATATCTTATTATCCACTGGTTATAATCATTTATCCATCCATTCAATCAGTCAATATTTATTAAATGTCAATATTTATTCATAACATTCCAGTATTCCATAGATCCCAGTGTCCAATTATGCAGGTGTTTTAGTTCTCTCTTCCTTTTGTTCCCCCACTTTCTGCTCTTTATTTTATTTTTCAGCTTTATTGGGTTATATTTGACAAATAATATTTTAAGATATTTAAAGTGTACATCATGATGATTTGATATATGTCTACATTGTGAGATGCTTCCTCCCATCTACTTGACACATCCATCACCTCACTTATTTATATGCTTTTTGTAAAAGCATTTGAATTCTGCTCTTTTAACAAATTTCAGTTATATAATACAATGTAATCAAATATAGTCACCACATTATACACTAGCTCCTCAGTACGTATTTATTTTATAGCCAAATGTTTGTACACTTTTACCACACTCTCCCTATTGCCCCTACTCTCTGTTTCTATGGGTTTTAATTTTTGCTCTTTAGAGGCCACATATAAGTGATACCATGTTGTATTTGCCTCTTTCCATCTAGCTTATTTCACTTAGCGTAATGTCCTCCAGGTCCACTTATGTTTTCCCAAATAGCAGGATTTCCTTCTTTCTCGTGGCTGAACAATATTCCATTGCACATGTGTGTGTTTGTAAATGTAACATCTTAGCCACTCATCTGTTAACAACACACTTAGGTTATTTCTATATCTTGGCTACTGGGACTAATGCTGCAGTGAACATGGGAGTACAGATATCTCTTCAGAAAAATGTGTCTCAAAGTCAGAATTACAACTGTAAGTTTTCAGTCAGCTTTTCCACTCATGCCACCTCACCGTATCATACCTGCATTGTTTGAGCTGCCATGTGCTGCTCCAGAGTAAAGTGTTTCCTCACTTCCTGTTCCCATGATTACATTAATTTTTTCTCTTTTGTTTCTTCTTCATGGGCTGAGTTATTGAGAAATTTTGACTTAACAATTTAAACACATTATAGAAAAACCCCAGACACCTTGTTTTATATTGGCCAGAGGCCTGGAAAATATTTCCTAAGGCTCCAGAGTTCCATGAGCAACTCTGGGGCTCCCTGTGACTGAAGTGATTGATAGTGCTAGAGTTTCAGTAACAGATGCGATTGATCAAAGTCATCCTGGACGTACTTGTGTTTGCTGCAATTTCATTTCACATTTTATGCTTATCTTTCCCAAACTGAGGTGTGAAATTCAGGCATCAGAGAAATCAGCAGGGTTTGTGAGTTGAAGTTAACACAACACTCAATGAAAATCCGTGTAGTTGATTAATAAAATAAAATGCATGGATGTGAGAGCCTGATCTCACACAGCTAGGGGATGCCATCTTGCAAATCTGTTTCCTGGGACCACTAGGTGCCTAGGCCCCTGGGCCAAAAAGGATGGAAAATCTACTTTGAAAACTACTCTCTACTTCATCAGTACGGCTTTGTTTTTGTCAAACAAAGCTCTTAGAATTTCACTTCTCAAGGACACTGCAGGGATTAATGAAATGGTTTTGAGTGACCAGTCTATTTTAAATAAGTGTTGTTTTTTAAGGATGTAATATTTTTGTTAATGTTATTTCAGTTTGGTGAATATGCAAGATATTAATAGTTAGTTCATTTGATTAAATGATGAGACCAGTGTGATTATGGCCCGAGACTGGATTTCCATTCTAGACATGGAAATTCACGTGTAGAAAATATTTTTATTTTTGCATAGAGAACATGTTCTCTTCCAATGGTAGACCATCTCTAGCCTTAGTCAGCCACATCTTACTGCAGAGTAGTGTGCTAATAGAAAACTAGTGCACATTTCTTGATGCGGGTGGAGAGGTTGCCTTTGAATGTAGAAACATATTATTATATGCTGCAAGTCTTAAAAGACTAAACAGGCCTTTGACAACATCTAGTCCTAATTTCTTCATTTAAAATTAAGGAAATTAAGTCTAGAGAATAAGTAGTTTGCCCAAAATCTCCCAATTAGTGCCAAAGTCAAGACTAAAATCTGGATATATTGAAAAGTCCAATGTTTTCACCATGGTATTGTGTGATATCCACTCTGATCTAGCATTCTCTTCTAAAACTTTGGGTATTTGGATTGAACACAAATCCTTAGCAAGCCAGTACCCAATAAAGTGCAGTACAGTCTTTGGTACCTCCTGATATTATACTAGAGACTTCTGGTTGTTTGTTGCAACTCCCAAGAGTCCTACAGTTCTCTAGGCCGACAGCCAAAAAGCAACACATTAGATTGCCAGGTCTGCAGCTGGGCGGCCATGCAAGAGTCTGCAGGGCAACTTTGAACAGCGTTCTGGAGACCGAGTCAAGCCAGGTGCTCTGATTACAACAAATGATAATGGCTGCCCATCGTAATTAGGCCACCAGGATTTCTGCCATGTGGATGCTCCACGTGCTGCGTTCGCTGATTAGGTCAATCAGTCATGTTCAATTATTCAGCCACATCCATTTAATGACCTGCTACCTGCAGAGCATTATGAAGATCTCTTTGCAATATGGGCAAAATTTGGCCATGAGCTGTGATCTTCCCAAATGTAGTTTATAGGTAGACATTCTCCAGGCTGGACTTCTTGGGGACAGCCAGTGAGGTGTCATTTTTAGGAGAGCCAAGGGCCCTTGTGACCTGTGACTTTTTATAGTAGTGTTCAAGAGGAAATGCAAAATTAGTCTCTATGGTCCTTCTTGGCCCTGAAATTTTTCTTTAAAACAATATTAATTATAGATATCTTCAGACTATAAAAAGAATACATATTTATTGTGGAAAATGTAGAAAATTACAAAGACAAAAAAAAGCACTCATCTTTCCAATATAGTGATAGCTACTTCCAACTTTTTAGTTCAAGCTTTTTCCAGCCTGTTTTCCAGGTATATATAGTATATACCTACTTATTTTTACAAAATTGAGACCCTACTGTATCTGATCCTGAAATTCTAAAAGTCCACAAAGTATGCAGAACTAAACAGTAAGCTCCTTGCTCAAAGCCTGGCATGTAATAGTTGCTCAGTTAACAATAAACATTAGTTAACTGATGGAGAAAAACCATGATTCCTGGACTTGAGCAGCCTCACTGGAGGATCATACACTCAGGCCATAACCAAATCTTGACAATAATGTTTGCACATTAACGAAACATGATAAACTAGAAAGTAGCTACCTTCCTTTAAGAAAGCCTCCCTTTCCCAAGAGAGCATCAGTAGTAATTTATCTTCATTTTTTGTGCTCATTACTTTTTTAGGAGATATCATTTGATGTAAGAGCTGCACATACAAGGGACTTGCTGAACATGGACCTCAGTGAAACATGGCCTTTGGAGGAAGGAACCTGGTTGTCTCATGCTGGAATTCATCATTTTGCCAACACCAGAGCAGGTATGGCTGCTTTTGATGTCCTTAATATGTATGGATTTCCCTTCAGCTCCTGCCCTCATAGTGTCAGCCCAGCTGTACTGAGTTATAGGTGTCCAGTGCCATTTGTCATGTCAAAAGGAGCCATCAGTGAGGAGAGGGCCTGGATTTTGGAGTCAGGCAGACCTGAGTTCAGGTTCTACTTGCAAGCTATGTGGCCTTGAGGAAAATCTATTGTGTCCTCAGCTCAAACACAAGAGCAAGAGTGCCTACCTTGTAGGGTTGTGATAAGGACCATGAGTAATGTAAGTTATCATTTACTGAGCCCTAGCCAGGTGGGAAGTTAGTCACATATCTTTGAGCTCCTAATATGTGTCAGGTATTATGTTCCTTCTTGTTTCCTTTTCCCTCCCCTCCTCTCCTGTCCTCTCTTTTCTTCTCTCCAGCCCTGTAAGGATTAAGATTGAGGATAATGCAACCAACCAGAGTAAGCTGACCAACCAGAGTAGGTCAGCTTACCTTCCCTTCTTTTTTTTTGTCCTAGCATCTGATTAACGCAATTTAACATTAAGTGATGGGGATGTTGTTACTGTCCTGGAGTGGAGCATAAGTGTGAGAACCATCATCCTGACACAGAGATGTGGTCCTCTGTCAGGTCTAAGAGTTCAACCTTCCCCTCCTGTGTCTCTCCCCGTCACCTAGATTAATGGAACTCTATTTTGGTGGTAGGAGCCAGTCTATGGGTGGGGAGAGCAAAGCCTGCTGAAGTTCACAGTGTCACATGATGCTTTTAGTCAGGATATGCTTTCCATTTGTTTGTTTATTCATTCGCTCAATAATATTGAGTATCTGCCTTGTGCTAAGCACTGGGAATACAAAAGAGAGGGTGGGGTAGACATTGAGATCACCAGCCTAAACTTTGTGTTGTGCCTCATTTCTAAAATAGAGTAACTCATAGAGCAATGAGCACTTACTAAGCTTCTGCACTGCACCTGCATACATCTTTTAGCCAAGACAGTTGTACACAATGGGTGATTCCCCAAGGGAAGGTTGATACTATGTGAAAGGAAGCTTGGATTCAGTCCAGCCAAAAACTGACAGCTGTCCACTCCTGCGCCCTATCACACTACCACCCAGCCATGATTTTTAGAGTTTCTTAAGCCAGTATCTCCAATCAGCCCACGGGATAAAGTTGAACCTCCTCAGCTCAAACACACATCCCTCCCTTATCTGACCTCTGGCTGCCTCACTAGGCTCACCTCTTATTGCTCATCACTAAAAACAAATCCCTTTCTCAACATAGTATCAACGCACCTGTGAATCCTTATGTAGTTCAAGTTCTCACACATGTGTGAGCCTTTGCAAAGACAGCAATTACTGTTTGCCTTGTATTTGGCCAGCTCCTACTCATCTTTGAAGCTTCACTTTAAGTCATCTATTCTGGGATCTCTTCCTGCTGCTGCCACCTACCCACCCCATCCTGGTCTGAATACATGTCTCCAGTGTTGCCACAGAACTTGCAAAGTTTCTTGTCACAGTGCTTACCACACTGCATTGTGATCATCTCTATTCTAGACAGCATGTGAGCTTCTTGGGACAGATGTCTGGTTTTAACTCCTTCACAAGTAGCCTGTCAAATACTTGATGTATACTTGATGACCAGTGGCTTGATGAATGAATAAATGGATGAATGAATGAATTAGTGGTAGCAGCACATCTTCTACATACCTCTGCTGTCGCTGAGAGCCTTTTTCCACTGTGGCAACTCCAATGGTTGCACAACCACTTCTGGCACCACTGCCTCACTTCACCTTACTTTCAGCACGTTATAGCATTTCATTCAGTGACCGCAGGCTTGTTCTCCAAAGCTGGAAGGCAGAGGAGAGAAAGGAAGTAGGTGTGGTTTGTCTGGCAGTGCTTTTGTAAGCTAGTAATAGAATCATCCATCATAGAATTTTAGAACTCAAAGAAGCCTTAGCGATCACTAGGACAAAGGGTGGCTAGAAACTGGTTCTTGTGACTAGCTCCAAGGACTGCCAGGTCCCTCCATGAACTCACCGTGTCATGTATGTACAATCTTTGGGGCATGGCAGGCTCATAAGAAGGGGAGCAAGGCCAGTGCCTAGATTTGTGTAATGGGGAGGCACTGCTCTCAGGTAAGCAATGAGCTTCTTGGGTTGATGGAGGAGCTTAGCTCTTGTGGGCAATAGATACCAGGATATCTGGCCCCTGCTGAGACTCAGTCTGTGATGATTGGAGGTATTCAAGGATGAGTAGGTAGTATTGCTGTATGTGGGTGAAGCACCATAACAAGGAATCAATATAGATGAAATTTGAAAATCCTTGTGGGCAGCTGGAGTTAGGGTGTTTCTCAGAGGCATGGGCTGGGGGTTCAGAGAAATGTCTCAGAGGCAGAGTACCCAAATGGGAACCTGGTGAAAAGTTGAAGTGGAATAAGAAGATCCATACTCAGAAACAAAGTGGAAGCCCCACTGTGCCAGACGTAAGTCAGAACTGGACAAAAATCCAAAAAAATTGTAATCATTCATTGGGTAGATACATTATACCAGACATTATGCTAAGCCTTTTTTTGCTATAGATATAGACAATCTCAACTCATTCTCACAACTTCATTTTCATTTTAAGAATGAAGAAACCAAGCCAGAGGAGGCTGAGAAACTTGTACAAGGTCTTTCAGCTGGTAAATGGCAGAGTGGGGATTTAGGCCTAGATCTGCCTAACCCCAAGTCACCGTAGGTGTTGCCCCTCAATCCACCTTCTGATACTCTCTACTCTGCCTTTTCAGTTTCAGGCTCTGGTGGTCCAGTTACAGATGTTTGTGGCTGGTTATTTTATTGTCACAGTAGAGAAGAGAACTAGCTCTGAGCAGGGCTAGAAAATAAATATGCAGTGACAGTTATCATCCAAGAACCTCCTAGGCTGCCTTACCTAATGCATTGCCAAAGCCTTGACCTTCCTGCTTCTGAGCATCTTTCCTCCACACCCTCACCCCTGCCCCATGTCTCCCACCACAGGCTTGTACCAGCTCCTCCATCTCTGAGGCCCAATGTAGGCTAATGGGGTTGACATTTCTAGTGAAGTTTCAGGAAAAGCCCTGGAAGTGTCCAGGCCTTGGGGTTTTTCCTTGGCTTCATAGACTCCTCTGAGAATGGTGTTCTCTGCCAGGGAGGCTCAGTTATCCTGGTGAGTCACGGGCCTTGAGCTGGACCAAATCCACACAACATCTGCTTTTGTATTATCCTCAGAGCACCTCAGGCTTCCATGAAGGTGGGACAGTCTCCAGGAAACTATATGGGGAGGGTTCAGGAGGTCTGGGGTGATACAAAATTTTGAAAGGAAAGTCCCTCTACCACTCCTGCTTCCTGCATTCATAAAATACCCTCAAGGACTTGGGCCAGTGGTTTTGCAAACTTATTTTAAAGGTCTGGAAGACATTTTCCAAGTGAAATCACATGCAGTGCCTGACACACAAAACAGAAGTGTTGGGCCCAAGCCCTGTTTCTCATTGTCACATCACAAGCTGATGTGGCTGCTGCTTCGATTTGCCAGCTGCCACATCTTAAGTGTGGGGACTGGTGCAGATGCGGAGGCCTCCGCAGCTCTTCTCAGTGAATCTGCAAAGCCCTTTTCCTGTTATAGATGTGCTCACTCAGCTGTTCGGGATTCCTGCTGTCATCCACGCTTCCCAGAGGACTCTACCTGCTTAAGCACCTCATTAAGGGAGAGGCAGGAAAACTGGAAAACATAACCTGGCAGTAGGGGCCAGGTGCATCTGGAAAGTCAATGGTGCTGTTCCCATTATGGTTTTAAAACCAGGATGTAGCAGATTTCCCTTTTGATGCCTCTCAAGGTCAGGGAGAGTTTTAACACATCAGGAAGGAAGGAAGGAACTTTTTCTGACAGCAGCCTGTGTGCCGAGCACTGCATGAATGTTATTTCATGTTATTTAAATCCTCATTGAAATCTCGTCAAGTAGTCATCTCCATTTTGCAGATGAGGAAACTGAGTCTTGGAATACGGCAAGATAACTAACTCAGGCTCATCCAGCAAAGGCCAGCAGAGCTCACAAACTCAGGTCTTCATACCCCAGACCTATGCTCTGTCCACTTCAGTTCTCTGTCAGTTTCAAAGAGCAGCACTTCTTGGCACCTCCACCTTTCCGTGATATCGATCCTTTTTGTCTAATTCTTTTGCATAAGGTATGGTAAAAGGACTAATACCGTGCAATCTGCTATCCATGATCTTCAACAGGCATTTGTTTTAAACAAGTTTCATAGAGGCCTCTTCATTTTACAGAGCAGATCACAGTCCAGGCAGGTTTGGAGACTTATCGAAGATCAGTGGCAGAATTTGGGCTGGAATCCAGACCTCTGCTTCTCCCTCCAGCACCTGTACTATGCTGACTACTAAGACCTTAGCTTCTGGGAAAAGCCATTTTAACATGAAATAATAGAGACCCCTGTGCAGCCAAGAAGACTCTATTTGCAGTCCCCAAAAGAAGCTATTCACTGCCAGGCCTCTGTCCAGAATGATGGAAAGCAAAATGTGAGACCAGGGTGGTCTCTGCATCTCACTGGAAACTCACATTTACCCCAGGGATTTCTTTCTTTCTTTTTTTTAATGGCTTAGCCATAGATTTCAATTGCTGCAAATGCTTTTTCACTTAATCTTAACATGGGTTATTTTGTTTGATTTCACTCAGTTGGTCTGAGCGTGAGTTGGAAGTGTATGATTTTCCTCTGCAGGGACCTTTTTCTGTGTGTATTTTTGGAATGGTTCTTTATTCTGATTCATGTCCACACACACCTTCCAGAAGCTTCTTGGCTCAGCCAGAGTTTACTTCCTTTGATATGATGTTGAGTGAGGAATCTTTTAAATCTTCATCTCTATTCCATAGTTGGTAACAGGAATACTGAAGGGCTGGATAGATTCAGTTTGTTTATATACTTCATAAAACACTTTGTTTTTGTTAATAGCATCTACTGTATTGGTATTTGAATTTT